TGGAGCGGGCGGCAAGCCTGCACCGCACGAGGCGGGAGATGGAGGCGGTGGACGGCGATGCGGACGGCAGGATCACTCTGGACGAGGCGCTAGAAGACGAACTTGCCGACCAGGCAGGTAGCTCGTTGACTGTGTTCATATTGTTGGTTTCCATTATTGTTTCGTTGAATGCCCCCATTTTTAACATCAAATTAGAGTTAGTTCCTGAGCGCGGGTATGATGGGCTGAGCAGAATACACTTATCCCATTACAAGTTCTTGCAAGTATTCTGTGTGGGTGGGAGTCTGAGCGGTGTGGTGGCAGAGTCAGCTAGGGCTGACTGAATGCCATTTCCAGTCCATTTTTCTGAGATTGGCTGTTGGTTCAATCACGCCCATTCGCCCTTGTCTTTCTATTCCCATCTTCCCTTCTCGCGCTCCTCCCTCCCGCAGCGTCACGCACCCTTGCCCCAAGAGTGCACTCACACCGTTTCTCCTCCTCGTCCCCATCTCCCATTTCCACTCACCCCCTGGCCGTCCCGCACCAGTGCACCACGGCGAGGGCGGGTGGCAGCACGTGGGGGGAGAGGAGCAGCGGAGGGAGCTGGAGCAACGGTTCCGCGTGGCGGATGCAGATGGGGATGGGCACTTGAACCTCAGTGAGCTCAACAGGTGAGTCGCTGTCATGGACATGGGCACTTGATGCTTGGAGTCAAGAAATCATCACTATGTGTCATGTCTGGACGGATTACATTATGCAACCTGTTCAATATTCCGTTATATGCCTCCCACTTTACCCCCCTTTCCCACTACCCTCCATCTCCTCCACCTCCTCCATGTCCCTCCCTTGCAGCTACTTGCACCCGGAGGACAGTGATCATCCAACCCTGCATAACCTCACACTGCTGCAGGAGTTCAGGTGAGGTCTCAGGTGAGATTCAGGTGGAATTTCAAATGAGATGAGTGAAGAATACGTGTAGTTGTTTGTGTGAGAGGCTCAGTCCAGAGGTAGGGTGGGAGAGGGCACAGCATGCGGCATGCACGGCAAGGAGACCAGCTCAAACCTGACCTGAATGCGTCACTGGCACAAACAGCTCAGTGCTATTCCTGTTCTTTGGCATGTGGTTTTGCCATCCTCTCCCCCTCCTCTCTCCCCCTCCTCTCGCATCCTTCTTCCCCCCTCTCTGCTTACTCTTTCACCAATTATCTACCCCCACATGCCGACTTCTCACCCTCCCTTCCATCATCCTTCCCACACACACCCCCTCCCCTCCTCCCCCTTCCACTCCACTGAAAATTCCACCACTCCCCCAAGCACACCCCTGCAGGGGTCGCGACAGTGACAACAACAGCCCCATACCTTTGGCAGAGTTCAATCAGACGGTGTTTCACGAGCAGAGCTTAACGAACATGAGAGGGAATCCATTCCCACCGTCCTGCCAACCTGCCATGCTCCCCCATCTTCCACTGCAGTGCAACAGGGATGGTGGCAGTGACAACGGCAGGCACACATCATTGTGTTGTGGGAGTGGAAGCACACCTCCTTCCACGAGCTCATGGCGCATGGCGCATGAGGATGACTCTCCCCATGCTGCTCTCACCTGCCATGCTTCCCTCCTACCACCAACATCTCGTGCCCCCCCCCACTTTAAGCCACCAGCACCACCGCAAGGAGGATCGCGACAGCCACATTGACAGGCACACTGACAGGCACATTGACAGCCACATTGACAGCCACATTGACAGGCACATTGACAGCCACATATCCTTCTTAAGGTTGTGCATCTCATGCCTCTCATGCCTCTTATGCCTCATGAGGACCGAATCCCCCCTGCTGTTCTCCCAAGCTACCATGCTCCCACTCACCGACGTCTTGCCGTCGCCACCGCCCACCACCACCATCATCTTATTGTCTTGTCCCGTTCGTGTGCAGGGATCGCGATAGTGACAAGGACAGCCGCATATCGCTGGCGGAGTTCAAGGCGACGGTGTTCCACGAGCTCATGGCGCACGACGACGATACCCACGACCCCGTCGAGGCTCTCGTCCACTTGCACGCCGCCCAGGCCGATAAGGACAAGTGGACCAACGACCATCGCCGCCCGCACCGCACGGGCGGCGAGTTTCGGGAGGCTCTGGAGGAGAAGGAGAGGCGGGCGAGAGGAAGGTTTGAGGAGCTGGATAAGGATGGAGATGGGTGAGTGAATGTGGTGTTGCTCATGTCAAGTGTGATACAGGCACTGTGATATTGGCACGGCTGAGTGAGTGAGACGATAGTTTTGGCTCCGCGGGCATTTCTGCCTGCATGTGTTCCCGGTAGCTTCCTCTCCACTGGCAAGATTAAGCCTGTGCCAAGAGTGCTGTTGTAAAGTTGTTCCTTCCTGTGTGTGCTTCCCTTCTTGGCAGCTTCCTCTCCCCTGGCGAGTTTGAGCCGGTGCTGCGGGTGCTGTGGCCAAGCGAAAGGGACTTCGCTGAAAAGAAGGCGGCAGATATGATTCGGCAGGTGAGGTGGTGGACTGCTGTTGGTGGCTTGGACTCACAGGGATGCAGTGTTCAGAAATGTGGAAGGAGAGTGTTGTGCGGAGTGTGTGAAGTAGATTGTTGTGATGGCTGTTCATTCTCGCCAAAACCCTACCGTAACTCAGTTATACCGTACCTGTGCTCCCCCCCCCCCCCCCCCCCCCCCCCCCTTTTTTTTTTCTTGATTCAATGCAGGCGGACAACAATGGTGATGGGTACTTGCAATTAGACGAGATGCAAGAACACTCGCATGTATTTTACAACAGTGTCCATGCACATGAGCAACAAAGAGAACATGTGGAGCATGAGGAGCTGTAGCTGCAATACATCTGAGGAGTTCTTGTGGATTGCCGGGTTAGACAGGCTACGGTAATCAAGAAATATCATTAGTAACTGATACACTTTCGTTGTTGATCTTTGACACCACCGTATCACCCCCGATAAAAGCGCAGGCCTAATAAAAGCGCATGTGCTTCTATCTGGAGCAATGCGCTCATGCCCGATCCTCAATTATAGGCGCACCCCCTAAAAAAACATGATTTATTGTGAAAGTCTACTTAGGCTGACTTGCAAAGGCAGCGTTATCATTTCATATGGGTTGTAGTACATCGTTCTCGTCATATATATGTCTACATAACAGCATACACAAATGGGTGGGCGGGTGGGAAATTAGAACTACATTTTAAGAAATGAAAACGTGGGTGGGGACGAATGTCCCCACGTCCCTCTTTTGTAGGCAAAAGAGGGTGAGTAGCGCTTCGGCGCTACCTTTGCTGTGTTGGCCACGTACCCCTTTTCACAATACAAAATTTTAGAAAGTGTTACATTTCATTACATTTTCAAAAATTATCATATTGTGAAAGTCTACTTATGGTACATTCCGCTGTGGACCATGTCCCAATCGATGTGTCCCAATCACGATTTGGTCGAGTCGCGCTCAAATGTCTCGAGTTTGCATGTCCCAATCGATCGATGTATTGCGACTCTGTACAGACGTGCGACAATTATGTGCGAACGTTTGTGATTGGTCATAGAATAAACATGCCCACTCGTCCTTGCGCAGCACATACACCAACACCTCCAGGTCCGCGGTAGATCCTTGGTGATGTCCAGGGAGGCCGCGAAGGGTACAGTACTCCTCCGCAGTGCCAATAATTGCCTCAACGGCACATACATTTGCAAATCATCCTCTAGTACGTCAGTTTTTATAATCAAACATAGCACAGACACCATTACTACACACGCATAATCCACGCATGATGGCAGAGCCTAGAGCCATCCCCTTCATCCTACGCCTCCTCGTCGCCTGGGTCACCTACTACTACACCATTTTCTACGAAAATGTCGCGAAGTCCTTCGTAGTCCTCATAGAGTCCGGTGTGTTTGAGGACGTGGACGAGCAGTCCTCATCGTCCGGGGACGACACCGGGGAGAACCGCCGTCACAGAGCGAGTGTACGGTGGCGACGTCATGCTTTGTGGGTTGAAGACCTGCAACACATGCGGGAGAACGATTTCCAAGACATATTCAGGATCAACCGCGCCATACTTGAGCATGTAAAGTCTGGGATGCGACAATATCTAGAGCCCATCGTCCATCGGTCGATAATCACAATGGACACTGCTTTGCTCATCCCAATAAAGTACTTGGCGAGTGGGATTTCATTCGTCGATATGTCGTACCTGTTCGGTGTCTCCAAGACACTCTGCCACGAGCTTGTTGACGTGTTCCTCACCGAGTTCCCCTCTGTCTTCAAGGCCGCCTGGGTGCGCTTTCCCACACGCGATGAACTTCCCGAGATGGCGCGTGAATTCGCTGCCATCAAAGGTGTACCTACAGTGGTGGGGGCTGTGGACGGGACTCACATCCACATGAAAGGGATGGAAGGGCACAGGGCGGAGTACTGGACAAGGAAGTCGGCCTACGCCGTTCAGCTCCAAATCACGTGTGATGCACGAGGCAGGATATGGGATTACCTCATCGGCTATCCCGGCAGCGCGCACGACATGTGGGTTTTCAAAGAGTCTGCACTACTTGAGAGGTTACACAACGGGGACATAGCCCCATACCAGATTGTTGGGGATGCAGCCTACCCGCTACGAGAATACTGCCTAACCCCCCTGCATGCACCGCGCGGAGAGGACCTACTGGACGATTGGGCCCAATGTTTCAACTACTGCCAGAGCGCCACACGCATGGCGGTGGAACGGTGCATCGGCGCCTTGAAAGGGAGATGGCGCATCTTCGGCGGGCGCAACGACTGCAGGTTGTGGCGCATTCTCGCAGGAGCCGCGTGTTGTGTGATCCTGCACAACTTGTGTGAAGAGATGGCAGTCGTTAGGCGCAAGAACATGGCCTGGTTCAATCTGCCCCGCAACCGCGACTCTTGGTGGACACGGGGTGCCATTGCGACACACAAGTGGGAACCCTGTGTTCCCCCAACACAACAGGCTCTGAGAGAGAGGCGGAAAAGACTGGGTGAGGCCCTGCAGGACTCTTACGCTAATCGTCGGCGCCGCGCACCCATATCTCCACATCCTCAGCACCCGGAGTGACGGTGTTGACGTCGCCAACATCTTCGCCATGCTGTGCGGCTTCGGGAGGTGGTGCGGACTCCCCGCGTGGCGGAGGAGGGCTGAAATCCGGCGGCGCACGGTGCACGTCCGGGGGCGCCGATTCAGTCATGCGCTCGCGGGCAAGTCGCATGTCCTGGGCCATCCATTCACGGACGAGGCTCTCAATGCGCGTCATCGCGTCACCGTGACAATCCTTGATGGTCGCGGAGACCAGCTTGGTTGCTTGCATGGTAGCCGTCTCATGCACCCGTGCGCGCCTAGGTGTTGCGGTGGTCGGCGGCGGCGGAGCTGTGATAGAGGAGCGGGGAAAATAATAGTTTCGATTAGTCCGACTACCCTTGTTTGATGTAACCTGCATATTGGCGAATAAAATAAACGGATTCATCGTATTCAAACTACGATAAGTCAAACGCATATCAAGCTAGAGGTGATAGAAGCACGACTCACCCGTAAAGGTTGGTGTTGACGTGCCTGGCTGAGACGAACTTGGAACCTCCATGCCGGCTGGCACGTTGACGTCCGTGGCGCCGCCGCCGTCCACCGCATGCGGTGCGGCTGCGGCGGTGTCCTGGTTGTGCAGCTCCAGGTACAGATACCACGGTGGTTTCTCAACCGAGCCGTGGCCTGACCCCCCGTCGCCACGCTTGTACTCCCGCCAGAGGAGCGTCAAGTTACGCCACTGCTTCTACAACGCGTTGACACCCCTGCACCATCCAGGGTTCGACTCCTTGATGTGCGCGAGTAGTCGGACCCAGTATTGCGTCCCCTGCTTCCCCTTGAGAGGCTCGAGCTCCTCTTTCATGAACCACTTCGCCGCGGCGAATATGGTGCTCTCCTTGTCCGACCTTAAGCCCCTCTCGACTGGTGCAGCCGACCGCTTCTTCCGTGGCTCCTGGCGTGGCGGTGGTGGCGCCGCCTTGCCTTTGCCTTTGTTCGTCCCAGATGCGCGTGCGGCGCTCCGTTTCCTAGTCACAGACACAGGTTGCGCTTCCTCCTCCACGTGGTCCTCGGCGTCCTCATCTTCATCGTCGCCGTCGCTGGGCGACATCCCAGCGTCTTCCGGTTCCTCCTCGTCGTCGTCGGTGTCGAGGCCTTGTTCGGGGTCGTCATCATCGTCACCGTACGCATCTTGCTCCACGACAAGCCGGTGTGTTGCAGCCGTCCTTGCAGGCTGACGACGCACACGTGACGGGGCCGCACTGGGCGACTGTGCACTGGATCCCTGGCCGTCAAGCACGGGCGGCGCGGATAATCCCTTCGGATGGCGCCCGTTAGCGATCTGCTGGTTCATCCAGCGGATGTAAGGAATGTCGTCAAGATCCTTGGGGCAGTCGTTAAGGGCCTGCCCCTTACGCTTACGAGCCATGCTGGCGGATAGAGTGCTTCTAGATCTAGATCTTTAGGGAGCGGGAGCAGAGAGAAATGAACAGATTGGAACAGGAAGGATGGTGCACGAAGATGAACCCGTAAGGTGTTGGGAGGTGGAGGAGTTGTGGGGAAGGAGCATTGGAGCTGGGGGAAGGCGCGCTGGCGGGGACGTGCGCGTCCCTGTCAATAATTCCGGGTGTGTCGTCTGGACCAATCACTACGCAGTGTACGCGTTGATGGGGATAGTGGGTTTTGGGGAGATGTCGTCTAGATACATGCTGCATGTGTTGACATTTGGCACCGCGTGCGACTGATGGACTGTGTTGCAATTAGCTCACAACTGCTCTGTGTTTCACGTCACCCAATGATAAATACATTTGGCGACAACCACGGGCGGCCCGGCATTCTGACACCTGGCAGCATATGCTGTACGTACGCGTCACAATCGATTGGGACACATCGATTGGGACAGTGTCCACAGCGGAATGTACCCTTAGGCTGACTTGCAAAGGCAGCGTTATCATTGTCAAACCTTTATGCTATAGTCTGTTTAGGCTGTAGTGGGGTAGTTCTTATAGGGTACAACACTTTTAGGTTTGCTACTTGTACCCACATGCTTTCTAGTTCAGTCATTCATTCGGTCAGTATTCTAACATGGTATTATGAGCAGGTTCCCTCGTGGGAACGTTTTTTTTAGGGCCCACCACGAACATTTTTTTTCCTGCCCTGCCCGAAGCGCGCCTCGCGCCTGCCTTACCTGCGCCGTCGCGCGCCCTTTCTCAGCCGCCCGTCGCGGGCCCGTACAGGCCCGTCCCGGCCCGTCTAGGCCCGACCCGGCCCGTCCAGGCCCGTCTCGGCCCGTCCCGGCCCGTCGCCGGCCCGTCCCGGCCCCTTTGCCGCCCGTCGTCGGCCCGTTCACCGCCCGTCGCGGCCTCTGCCCTGCAGCCGCCCCCTGTCGCGGCCCTGCCCTGCAGCCGCCCACTGTCGCGGCCCTGTCCTGCAGCCGCCCACTGTCGCGGCCCTGCCTTCGCCACCCGTCGCGGCCCCTGCCCTGCAGCCGCCCCCTGTCGCGGCCCTGCCTTGCTGCCGCCCCAGTCGCGGCCCTGCCTTCGCCGCCCATCGCGGCCTCTGCCCTGCTGCCGCCCACTATCTCGGCCCTGACCTAAACCGCCAGCTGCGGCCCTGCCCTGCACCCACCCCTGATAAGCACGTGCGCTGCCCTGCCGCACCGCGCCGCCTGCTTCCGCGCCACACTGCCAGGAACCGAGCCGCGCCGCCCTGCCGAGCCGCGCCGCACTGCCGAGCCGCGCTGCCCTTCTGCTTGCACTACTTCTGCTGCCACTACTGCTACTGCTGCTACTGCTACTATGGCTAGCCCTACTGTTCTCACCTTTGATGCTGAGGGGCGTGCAGTTGACTTTGACGTGTGGGTTGACGACCTGCAGCTCTTTCTTCAGTGTGACTCTAGGGATGGGGTATCCCTTTTCGATCACACGCCCGGTGTCTCTACTGCACCTACTGCCACTGTTGACAGTACGGTTCGCTCGCAGTGGACCACTCGTGACGCTGTTGCTCGCCTTGCTGTTCGTAGTTACCTACCGCCTACTGAGCGCGCGCATTTTGGCCAGTACAAGAATGCTAAGTCTTTGTACGACGCTGTAGTTGCGCGCTACTCCTCCCCTACCATTGCTGCCCTCAGCCACTTGTTCCCTGACCTTGCCGCCTTTGCCACAGTTGCTGACCTCATTACTCACCTCCGCACTAGTGACGCCCGCTACCGCGCTGCCCTTCCCACTGAGTTCTGTGCCAAGAACCCCCCCCCCCCCATGTACATCACCCTTTACTACCTAGTCACCCGCCTCCCTGACTCCCTTGCTTCAGTCAGGGACCACTTTCTCTCCCTTTGCCCCACCGAGCTCACTGTCGACCTGCTAGAGGAGCGCCTCGCTGCAACTGAGAAGAGTATCTTAGCTGTAGGAACTTCTCGCGGTGACCGTCGCACCCCATTCTTTGAGGGGTGTTCCCCTGTCCCCCTTCTCCCCTCTGTTGCTTCTACTGCTGCTGTCGAGCTCGTTGGCACTGAGGAGGTCGGGGCGGCGTCTGCTCCCAGTGGGAGGCGCCGGAACAGCAAGGGCAAGGGGAGCAAGGGTGGTGGAGGGGACGGCGGGGGCGGCGGCGGAGGCGGTGGAGGAGGCGGAGGGGGTGGCGGTGGAGGCGGGGGTGGTGCCTGAAGTGGGGGCTTCAGTGGCGGTGGTGGAGGGAGTGGAGGCAGCGGCAGCGGTGGTGGAGGCAGCGGCAGCGGTGGTGGAGGTAGCCAGCGCCAGCAGCAGCCGCGTTCCCGTGAGACACCGTCGGCCCAGCAGCTTCGTGAGTGGTACGCTGGGCGTGGGAGGTCTGGGGGTGCTGGTCCCTGTACTTACGTTCTTCGCACCAGCGGGCGTCGTGGCGAGACGTGCGGGCTGCCACACACTGCGCAGCGCTACTTCGGTCGCCTGACTGACGCCTGGCGCGCCCAATTTCCTGACGCTGTTGAGCTCCCTCGGTAGGGTGATCTGCTTAAGCAGAATGTTGCTATCTTTGATCTTGATTTCGATGCTATCCTTGCTGCCATGTATGCTGTGACTGATAGTGCTGAGGGTGACTGTTACCTAAGTGTCCCGCCCAACCCGGGCATTGAAGCTGCTGCTCTAGGTGCTAGTGCGTCTGCTGCTCCAGGTACTGGTGAGTCTGCTGCTCCAGGTGCTGGTGAGTCTGCTCTCTCTGGTACTGCACCTACTGAGGCCTTGCACACTTTCACACTTGTCTCTGGTGCTTCGCGCTCTTTCTTCCGCGACAGCACCACACTCACGCCGCTCAGTCGGCCTGTCGCACTCTCTCTGGCTGACCCCTCTGGGGGCCCAGTCCTTGCGCACTCTTCCACGGTTCTACCGTGTCCTGCAACCCCGTTGGGCTTGCTGTCGGGACTCCACCTCCCCTTGTTCTCTACGAACCTGGTGAGTGGAGCTGATCTCCAGGACGTGTGGGTCGACCAGTTCACCCTTGGAGGTCAGCGTGTGACCCACTGCACTTGCTCTCGGACGGGCCGCCACCTGGCCACGTTCACCCGTCGGCCTGGGTCGAGTCTGTACACACTGACTACTGCGTCTCCTCCGGTCACTGCGTCTGGTCAGGTAGCTGCGTCTAGTCAGGTGTTTGCTGCATCGTCCAGGTCTAGTTCAGAGTCTGCCCCCTGCTCGTGTCGTCCTCTGTCGCACGAGACTCTTCTTTGGCACCACCGCCTTGGTCACCCCTCCCTGCCTCGTCTTCGAGGTATGGCCTCCCGTACCCTTGTCTATGGTCTCCCCCGGTCCCTCCCTCCCCTTCCTCCAGGGCCTGCCCCTACCTGTGTTCCGTGTGTCGTGGGCTGACAGCGCGCCGCTCCTCACTCCTCTACGTTCCCTCTGACAGAGGCTCCCCCGCAGACTCTTCACATGGACATGTGGGGCCCAACCCGCGTCCGTGGACAGGGTCATGAGTGCTACTTCCTGCTGGTCGTTGACGACTACTCGCGTTACACCACAGTCTTCCCCTTGCGCCGCAAGGGTGAGGTCACTGAGGTGTTGATCGAATAGATCCGCGGTGCACGTCGCCAGCTCAGCGAGAGTTTCGGCTCGGACCTTCCTGTTCGGCGTCTGCACTGAGACAGAGGTGGTGAGTTTTCCTCCGACCTTCTGAGGGATTTCTGTCGTGAGGAGGGCATCCGCCAGACGTTCACGCTTCCGGCCTCCCCACAGCAAAATGGGATTGCTGAGCGGCGCATTGGCATGGTCATGGACGGTGCTCGTACGTCCATGATCCATGCGGCTGCTCCCCATTTTCTGTGGCCGTTCGCGGTTCAGTACGCTGCGCATCAGATCAACCTTCAGCCTCGTATCTCCTTGCCGGAGACCACACCTACTCTGCGGTGGACGGGGAAGGTTGGCGATGCGTCTGTGTTCTGTGTCTGGGGATCTCGAGCTTTTGTCCGCGATAATTCAGCGGACAAGTTGTCCTCCCGTGCCGTTCCCTGCGTCTTCCTTGGCTTCCCCCCTCGCGCCGTGCCGTGCCGGGTGGCAATTCTACCACCCCACCTCGCGTCGTGTTCTGTCCTCTCAGGACGTCACGTTTGATGAGTCGGTGTCTTACTACCGTCTCTTTCCCTACCGCACTGCCTCTCTCCCCCCCCCGCCACTCTTCCTAGCACCAGGTGCTCCTCCGGTAGACCCCCTCCCCCCTCAGGGTCCTGCTCCCTCATGTGTGTCCCACGTAGACCCTGTTGAGCCTGTCGAGGTAGCTATCGACTCAGGTGCTGCTAGGGGTGCTGAGCCTGTGGGTGCGGGGACTGGGGGTGTTGGGCCTGGGGTTGCTGTGTTTGAGGGTGCGGAGCCTTGGGGTGCTGAGCCTGAGCGTGTGGAGCCTGGGGGTGCTGAGCCTGGGGGTGCTGAGTCTGGGAGTGCTGAGCCTGGGGGTGCTGAGCCTGAGCGTGCTGCATCTAAAGGTCCTCAGGGTGTCCCGTCGCGGCGGGAGCCCCTCTCTCCGCAGCAGCTTCGTGAGTGGTACACTCGGCGCTGTCGAGGTGCTGCTGGTGCTGCTAGTGCTGGCGGTGCTGCTGGAGCTGCTGGAGGTGCTGCTGGTGCTGGAGCTGCTGGAGGTGCTTCTGGAGCTGCTGGAGGTGCTGCTGGTGCTGGAGCTGCTGGAGGTGCCTCTGGAGCTGCTGGAGGTGCTGCTGGTGCTGGTTTTGCTGGAGGTGCTGCTGGAGGTATTGGTGCTGTTGGAGGTCCTGATGGTGTTGGAGCTGCTGGAGGTGCTGCAGCAGCTGGTCCTGGAGGTGCTCGTACTGGAGGTACTGGAGCTGCTGGGGCCGGTGGTGCTGCAGGAGTTGGAGCTGCTGGTGCTGGAGCTGTTGCTACCGGAGGTGCTTCTGAAGCTGGAGCTGCTGGAGGTACTGGAGCTGGTCGTGCTGCGGGAGTTGTAGCTGGC